TGAAAGGAAGCCATTGTCTCTATAGTTAACATAAGAAATTGGGGCCGGCCCCGTGGCCTGGCGGTTCAGTGCGTACGCTCCGCTACTGGCTGTCCGGGTTTGGATCCCGGGCGTGCACTGACGCACTGATTCTCTGGCCATGCTGAGGACCGATGCACTGCTTCTCTGGCCATGCTGAGGCCGCGTCCCACATACAGCAACTAGAAGGATGTGCAACTGTGACGTACAACTATCTACTGGGGCTTTGGGGAGAAAAAGGGAAAAAGAGGAGGATTGGCAATAGATTAGTTAGCTCAGGGCCGGTCCTTCTCAGCAAAAAGACTATTGGCATGTATGTTAGCTCAGGGCTGATCTTCCTCACACAAAATAAATAAATAAATATCTAATAAAAAAAAAAAGAAATGAGGCAGAATGTTTTACTTATTTAAAAGGTAGCTTTAAAAAGTAGACAAGAAAAACATGGGCCATCTTATACAGGATAATTCTGGTGGTAGATTATAAGTGGCTTTACCAATCTAATATTTATCAGCAGGCAGGTGAGTATATTCTCAGTTTCTCATCAGTTAGTAAATTACATTTTCTGAAGTTCTGATCAAACTACCTATTTCCACGAAAGTTAGGTTTGCGAGAATGGTTATTCCGTCATATCTTAGAAATAAGATGACAAACATTAAATGCTTAATTTTTTGGTGCTAAGATAATGAGACCACCCAGAACATTGTCAAAACAGCTTTTACCCAGTGAGTATGTGTTTGAGCCACTAGTTCTATAAAGTTGTAGTTCTTCATATCTTCCTATTGAAGGTTTTACTTCATGGCCAAAAAAAAAAGGGGAGGTTAAACATGAAATAACTGCATTTTGAACATCTCAAATTCCCACCCATAAAACATCCCTTAATGCTCTTCCTTGAATTACATATTCTCCATTGTAATGAGTTCCTTTTTTGAAAACCAAGGAAAGGGAACATTTCTTGTAGTAAAGAAGGCAGTTTGATGGTTCTTTTATCCAGAGGTTGATACAAAGGGATGGGTTGTGAGGAGGAGAGGGTATTATGAAATGTAAAATTAAGACTAAAAATAACTACAGATGCCTCAAAAGGTAAAATAAGAATCTTGGAGCTTTGAGACATGGTGGGGGTGGGGGTGGGGTCCGGGGCAGGGAACCTGTGATAGGAGAGCATGCAGAGCATGCACCAAATTATAAGAGACATCTGTAAGAGGGAGGGACTGAAATGGCTCGTAGGGGTAGTCTGTATGTACACTCGTCCTTCGGTAGCCGCGGAGGATTGGTTCCAAGAATGCCCGCTGATACTGAAATCCGAGGAAGCTCAAGTCCCTTGTATAAAATGGCGTAGTACCGCAATGCATGCAGTGGGCCCTCTGTACCTGCGGATGCGAAACCCGGGGATTTGGAGGGCGGGCTGTATTCGTCTATCTTCCAGACATACTCGTGCCATACAAATAACAGCCCTCAACAGTTAAAATTTGGTGTATATTCTGGGTCATCAGAGTTAGTAGGCCTAATTACTGGCATTCAGGTATTCAACACCATCTTTTCAAATTCCTGTACCAACATAAAAAGCAATTTGTGCAGTTTGCTGGTGGGGTAGGGGGAATCAGGTTTAATTCGGTAGAAGAAATACTTTACTTAACATTGCCTAGTGCTGCATGACTTCTGAAAATGAAGTGAAAGCAAAGAGATAAATCCTAGTCTTTGCTCAAATTGTCTTCCCTGGAGTCTTTCCAGATCCTCACCAGTTGAAAATTTCGCTTTCCCATCATCGGTCATTTTTTAAAAACTCTCCCTGTATTATACATTATTTTTCATGTGTGACATGTCTCCTTCACTAGATTGTAAGCCTTTGGAGGTCAGAAAAATGCATCTAAACCATTGTATCTGCCACCATATCTAGTACAGTGCCTTACACTTATTTGCTAATTCAATAAATATTCATTAAAATAATGGAGAGATTATCGGATTGCAGTTTGATGTTTATGAGCCCTTTAGATGAATGCATTATCAACTATTTTTTACTTATTAAAGTTTGAAAATGTACCCCTAGCCCATGTGATAATTGTGGCATTTATCAAAAATTTACACATTTAATTGTACTGGCTCTCCACAGCTAACATTATCCTGGAGCAGCACTGTTTAGTAGAAATATAGTACAAGCCACATATGTAATTTTAAATTTTCTAGTAGCCACATTACAGAAGAAACATTAATAGTTTTAGCCCTTTATTTCCAAAATATCAATTAACATGTAATCACGTTTTAAAAATTGAGATTGTTTATATTCTCGTTTTCATGCTGTCTTCAAAATCTGATGTGTATTTTTACACTTAGAAGTCTATTCAAACTAGCCACACTTCAAGTGCTCAGTAGCTAGATAATGGCTAGTGGCTACTGTATTGGACAGTGCAGGTCTAGAACTTTAGGGCAGGCAATAAACCTCTTTGGATCTCAGTTTCCTGTAAGGTATCATAGCTTTGATTTCATGTCATTATCATTTTAGGTTGTTATCCAAATAAAGCTAATTGGTTTGGCTGGTTTTTGTCACGTTCATAAACTCATAAAATGAGAAAGCTTTTTGTGTTAAGCATTGTACAAAGACATTCAATAGGCACTTTTCACCCAGTTTAATCTTCTCTAACTTACGAAGGTTTAAAATCTGTTTTAGAGTTGAGGATGCAGGGGTTGAGATAGATCAAGTTAACCTTACTCAATGAAATATTGCTAGTAGAAGGTGGAGCTGGTTTCAGAACCAGGATTGATTGTGGATATCCTATATCCCTGCTAGGAAGTTCAAAACTGTTAATGAAAGTTTGGGAAAAAAATTTCAACCTCTCTGTGTCAGTGTTAAGGTGGATACTAGACCATAAGGTTAAAGAGAAAACATTTAATGAAATAAGTATTTCATTAGATGAGGTGTGTATCAACAGGAAAATTTCTTTTTCTTGCTTTAGGTGTGGGTTTTAAAGAATATTCTTGTAGCAGAAATTATTTTTACTTTTTTTCCTTTTTTGAGCCTAGGAGCAATATGAAAATTTAAATTGCCTATTGTCTAATTAGCTTATTCTAATTGCCTCTGCTAAGAAGTCTTAGATGTTGTAAAGATGTCTAATTTGAACAGAACCAGAAACATTTTATCTTTAAAATGTACTGGCTCTCAGTGAAACTGTGAACAGTAATTTCAGAATAAGCCTTTAAAGAAGCAAAAGTTTTAAGCAGAAAAAAAGATTGGCAATATAACTTCTGGGAAAAGTTTAACTAAGTAACTTACCCAAATATAAAGTACTCATGTCCACAGTGGGCACTTGATACATGTAGAGTAATTCAACATAGACCTTTTATTTATACTTCAGTATAGCCCTAGAGTGTTCACATAAACAAAGGTTATAGATAACTCAAAGACGCTAAAAAAACAAAAAGGCTGCAAAACTGAAATTTTTAAATGTGTACCTCAAGTCATTAAAAAAAACCACTAATCTTTCCCATGATGTTACACAGTAGTCTTTTAAATGGTTTCATCAGAAATGCTACCACATGAGTATATTTGTGATGTTAAACTAACATTGTTAATTGTTTAAACTAAACAATACCTAATGATGCGGATCAGTGAAACGGTACTTATATATACCACTGTAGAACTGGTAAACCATTCTAAGAGGAAATTTGACAGTATATATTATGTTCTTACCCTTTGATCCAGCAATTGCATTAGATGTGGATCTTAAAGAAATGATTAGAAATGTATATAGATTTATTATCAAGGATGGTAATAATCATTATAATATCAATGAAATTAAATAGTATTAATAGAATAAAGGATGGCACATTCTGAAGGAAAATAATGCATCATCAAAGGTCATCCATGTATTCGGAATAATAACGTGGAAAAATATTCATGAAACTGTACATAAACCATATTTTTTTTTAAATCATTTCTGAACATGTCTGTCTTCGCACTTTGGAGGCTAAGATCCTAGGGAAGAGAAATAACAGGCAGCACGACAGCGCTGGCTCTGGGGTCAGAAAGGCTTCAAATCCCGGTTTCGCTAGCTGTACCATTCTGAGCAAGTTCCTCTCCGTCTCAGTAATCTAGCTGTAAAATCCGAGAAACCAGAGTACCGTACCCACATCAAGAAGTGAATGTGTGAAGGTTAAATGAAAGTGCTTAGCGCGCCGCCTAAAGAAATTTTACTTATTACAATAATGTCTTCCTGCATCTCTCAGAGTAGCGGAGAATACGGAAATTAAAATTCAGAAATGTGATTTAGTAAAGCGAAAGCCCCACGAAACTTGACAAGAGGCATAATCTAACCTGCCAACCCACCTTGTCCAACTACTTGGATTCTGATTAGGCCCGCGGGGCTGTTGTGAACCGAGCTCTACCTCGCCTGTGAGCGCGTAACAGAGGCTCTCTCTCTCGCAGGGGTGGCGGCGCGGTGGGTTTGACTCTTCAGTATTCCAGAGTTGGTATACTCACCGGTACCCCCCCGCCCCCGCGCGCAAAGTAAGGCGTCCCTCCCTCCTCCTCATTGGGCGTCGGGCAAAGCTCGGACCTGTTCCCACCCAGAGCTGAGCCTAGGCTGAGGAGGCGTGGAGTGCGGCTGGGGGCGCGACCACGCGCTCCACCCCCTCCCGGGCGCGCGTCACAAAGACTACAGTCCCCAGCGGGCCCCGCGAGTGGGGGTGTCCCGTCAGGCAGGGTGCGGCGGCTGCGGGCGGCTGTAGTTTCTCCTGTGCTCAGGCACCACCTTCTCTCTCCTCTCCGCAATACTGGTGGTTACTGGGTGCTGCAGCTTCCGCCCGATTTACTGAAAAACGCCTGTCGCGGGTGTAGTCTGGCTCCCGCTGGGAGGCCGGTGCGCGGCTCTGGCCGCGACGGCGACGCGGCGGGACCCGAGCGGCGTCGCGCGGGATGATGACCTAGTGTACGTCGTGCGGCCGTTCTCTTGGCCCGCGGGGGGCGGTGGCCGCGCACGCGCGCCGGGGACCTTGGGCGGGGCCTGATAAGTGCAGTCGGCGGACTGTCCGCCGGTCGGCTGCTGTGCGGGTCTGCCGCCGGGCCGGCGGGGCGGAGTCGCTGGAGGTCCATGGGGGTCGCCTCGATCTCGGCCTCAGTCTGTAGCCTAGCTTCAGCCACTACGGCGGAGATGGTGCCGTGGGTGCGGACGACGTGGGAGAAGCTGAAGCAGTGGCTGCGGCTGGACGTGGGACGCGAGATCTGCCGCCAGTACCCGCTGTTCTGCTTCCTGCTGCTCTGCCTCAGCGCCGCCTCCCTGCTCCTCAACAGGTAACGCCGTGGCGCCGGGCTGGCCGGCCGGCTGGCCGCTTCCCTCCGGAGCCGCGGACGCAGGCAGGCTTGCTTCACTGTGGGGCCGCCGGGGCTGCGGGACTGGGGGCCAGATGCCAGGCCTGTGGGAAGGGCGGCCTCTGGGGGCCGGGCCGAGCGCCGGGCCCGGAAGTGCGGGCGGAGGGCTGAGTTTAAGCGTCCCCTTTCCTAAGGCTTCGTCTCCTGAACCTCTGGCCCCCATTCTTACCTTCTTTTCACTCATTTCTTAAAGCCTGGTCCTCCATCATCGATGTTTTTCACAAGAGTGAAATCTGTACGTCTGGCTCAATTTGAGACCGTACAGGGGCGGTCCAGTCAGCTGACGCAGGATCGGTCAAGGTCCTGTCGCAGCCGCAATTTTAGGTCGACTGTCCTCCCTCTCACCACACCCACACCCCCACACCCCGTATAGCCGAAGCTTTCCTCCCTCTCGACACACACACACACAATCTTACAGCCGAAGCTTTCCTTGCAGTGTCGTTGGTTAAAACGGACGGTGACAAAGATTTGTTGAAACCAAGTCAGAAAGCAAAATAGTACGTTGTCTCAACATCGCTAGAATATTCCTAAAGGAAAGACTGAAAGTTAAAATGGGTAAATTCAGTTGACATTCTGAAATCGGAAGGTTCTGCCCCTGAAATAAACTTGTAGATTTCCTTCATTTTGCTCTTTCTGGAAATGGTAATTCTAGAAATAGGAAGTAGAGGAGAACTCCTTGAAGATTGTTTCCAGGTTTGCTTTTGGTCGAAAGACTTCTGAGACGCTTGTCCGCGACAGCATCTGCGTGGTGTTTTCTCTTGATGTTTTGAACATGCAGCCATCCTCACTCTTTATCTTGAGATAGTTGATCCCGAGGATAGGAATGGGGAAGCATTCGCAACGGATTTGGTACCTTAATTTTGCTCTAAGGTAACCGTTTCCTGTGACTGTGTTGAAGTTGGGTTGGGTTTCTTCCCTAGCCACTTTGCTTTCTTTTTTTTTTTTTTTTATAGTTTTATTTATTTATTTTTTCCCCCCAAAGCCCCAGCAGATAGTTGTATGTCACAGCTGAACGTCC